TCAGCAGGACTTGAACCTGAGCTGATTGCTGGGGGACTGGGTGTCAGAAATATCTGGGGGAAGTTTTAATGCCAGGGCTAGCTCCTGAGCTCAGAAAACATACAGCATGGCTTGTGACAATGGGAATTTCCTGGCACTGCCTTGCTACTACTATTTTATTTATTTGTTTTTGTTATTATTATGGTGGAAACTTGGAACAATACTTGTTCTGAGATATGAGATATCATGATCTTAGCCCAGAAACAGCCCAGCCAACTGTACACAACGTCCTGTGGCATCCGGGTTTTGTTCTCCCTGGGCCATCAGCCTGCTGGGAAGCCTCAGGGAGGTCCCATTCCCCAAGGAGACCCTGGTTCTCCTCCATGCTTTTGTTCATCTCAGCTGTCTAGTTGGTCAGATCTCCAGAGCAAAGAGCACATTTGCAGAGAGGGCTGTGCCCTGTGTGGGGTTTCCTGGGCAGTGCTGGAGTAAATATCATAAACAAGTGGCTGGAAGTCAAGTTGGTCTTTAAAAAACAAAACAAACCTTTGGCTCTTAACAGGTTGTTGGTGCCTTTATCTTTTCCTCAACCATGGAGTTAATATTCTTCCCTCCATCTTCTGGTCTTCTTGCTAGATTAAAAGTACCTCAAGCCTGATTTTCTTTGTCTCACGGGGGTTTACAATGGAAACCCAACCAGTCTGTCTGGAATGTGCAGGTCGTGTTGCAGCCTTGCCAGGGCATTGCTGAGAGACCCAGCCCACGAGGGTGCTGCTCTGCCACCTTCCAGCTGAGGAGAACAACAACATCATTGTCAGTGTCAGTTGGGTTTTAGGTACATTCATGTTTTCCTGTTCCAGACAGAAGACAGTTCTCACATAGTTCTTTAAACACGTTGGGGTCAGCAATTCTGCTTCCAGGGTTTAGGAAACATTTTCCCCAAAATAATTAAGACAGGTTTTCCCCAGGATGTGTTTCAGTGTTGTATTATGTAGATGTTAGCAGAGGCTTCTGGAGAACAGGCTATTATTGCAGTTCTAATCATTTTTCAGTCCCTTCAAGGATCTGAAATTGCAAACTTGTGCCTTGAGCAAAACGGATCTGCAGAATGTGAGCCATGGCAAGAGGGGGACCAGAGGGCACCCAATGGGAGAAGTCCTCTTGCTTATCTGGCATTTCTCCATGGAGCAGGAGGAGAGGCTGCAGGAGGCACCAGACAGGCAATGGGAGAGACTGCAGTGGAGCTGATGGAAGAGGGAAAGTCCTACAAGCTGCAGTGTCCTCCTGTGCCTGGGACAAACAGGGACTCAGGCTACTGCTGCTGTTTCCAAGGCAGATCTTCTCACCTTTGTCTTCTAAGCCACTGAATTTATACCTCCTATTACTTCTGGTATCATCATGAAAACCTGAGTAAAAATTTCCTCACTCTGTTGCCAACCTGACTGTAAATCAAGAACAAAGAAGCTTGAAATAAAGGGAGGAAAGAAATCTTGGGAAACACTGGTGCAGGAAACCAAGAGAGCACTTTGGTTGGTACATGTAAAGCAAAGCACAACTGTTCTGGACATGCTACACACAGCTGTGAAGGGTTAGAGCCATGTTCTCCTGGTGAGCCAGGGGAGCTGTGCTGGCTCTGGTGGAACGGGGCCAGCTCAGCCCAGACAGTCTCAGCCCGGGCTATTAATAGCAAGGGGAGTTGTGGGGCTGCTTGGAGAAGTTCCACTGGAACGCAGGGTTTTATTAAAAAACCAGAGATAAGAATGACAGATGAATCTGCCTTCTGCTTCTCTGGTGGAATGTGGGTCCTGGTCCTGTGCACTTCCCAGCACTTCCCAGCACCTCCAGAGACCCCCAAGCTGGCAACTCAGTGGGAGGCAGCGCTCCCTGCCCTGGCCCAGGTAATGTCCCAGTGCTGTGATAGCAGCTGTGGTACCGTCTGATTCTGCTTCTGGTGTCACTGTAACAATACTTTCAGCTGCTTTTCTTTCTCTGTAGCTGCAGAAAGCCCAAGGCTTTCCTTTCACCAGCTCTCCAAGGCTCTTATTTCTTTGAATTCTTCAGCGCTCCACGGAGAAGGGATGGGGATTGGCAGCAGCAGCTATTGATGCTCCGTGCTTCCTGTGACCCTGTTATTCAGGGAGAGACAATGAGATTTCACAGCTGCACTTTAGATCATCTCTAAGGAGAGATTTAACTTCTCCAGACGTCCTTGAGTTGGTTTCTTGCTGAAATTTCAAAAAAAACCCAGCAGAAATTCTCACTGTCTGGTGTTGTGCGTTTCCCAGAAACTAGTTAATTTATTTACTGCTCCCCACCAGTCCAAGTTCCCTTTAGAGATTAACATGTGTGTTTTGGCTTCTCTCCATCTCTTCCTTTGGCTCAAAATGAATGATACCAGGACTGTCTTTGAAACAAGGCAGGAATGGGAAGTTTTTTGATTAAACAGCCACATCACCCCTGAAACCTTGCTCTGTGCCAGCTTCCTGGGGCCCCACTGGAGAAGGGTGGGATTGGGAATGGCAGATGAAAGGTCTGGTCAGTTCAGCCTTTTTGAAGAAAACAGGCACGTAACATTCTGGTAGGATTTGGAAACAGTTTTCAGCTCCTCAGATGTGTCACGTGGAGCAGCTTGTCACCAAAGGTTTTCAAGCCTGCTTGCTTTTAATAACGAGAAAGAGCTGGTTTCAGTGAGAGCTACTGAGGGAGCTCAGTGGTTAGTGCCTGTCTGGCTGGAGAGGTTCAGCCTTTATCAGGGGCTTGCATTACCTGAGAGCATGTCAGCAGGGTGTGGAGGTGGTTGAGGGGATCACACTGGCAGGGGGGACATCCCGTGTATCTTCTCGTGGCCTGCCCAGTGGGCTCAGCCCTCAGGCTCACCCTGCACCGTGTGTGGCAGAGCACGTGTCCAATGCTGCTGAGAGGCAAGGGCTGCTTTCCAGCCTGTAAAAAGTGTCTTGGTTGGACATGAATAAGCTGGTGCTTTTCCTCATACATTTACTGTGTTTGCAGGGTGGCTCTGAGCATCAACAGTAAAAATGTTTGTCATCTGAAATGTGATTTGTTGCTGCCAGCAGAATCTCCCTTCCAGGTACTCCTGTCCAGCCACTCTCTATGAGCCTCTGGGATTCCAAGATGGGTATTTCTGAGTATGGCTGGGAATGGCATGGGCACTCACTCAAACACAAACATTTTTAAGGAAATAAAATATGGTTTGGTTCTTGCTCCTCTGAGAAACAATGGAAGCCTTCAAGGGGAGTGGACAAGGAGACTGATTATAATAATAATTACTTTCTATGTGATAATTCTTCTGGGTTATTCTGAGCCCTGGCTGTCCATGGAGCATGGATGTGCCCAACTGACTGTCCATGGGTTCATATTTCTGTGGGAGATTGTCTGAAAGGAAACATGGGGTTTGGGGCACATTTTGTGTGAAGTCATTGCTGTCATGGAGTTGCAAACCCCCCAGGCTGCTCAGAGCAGGGCTGCATCCAGCTCTGTGGGAGCTGGGCAGTTTTGGAAGGGCAGCTCAAAGTCACCCTGAATTTTTATCCAGGTGCAGGTTGTATTGGAGCACCTCCAGGATTAGGCAGCATCTGAGCTGGGGTTTTCAACCTCTCAGATTTATTTCTAGGCAGATTCAGAAACTGATTTTGGTTCTGGCCCTTGATATTTTGCAGTCACAACGAGAGGGCATCTTCTAATTGTATATGTGGTCTTTTAGATGTAATGAACATCTGGAGAACTCTTCCTAATAAAGGCTTCTTTTCTCTGTTTGGGATAGAGGGAAATGATCATTCCAAGATCCTGACAATTACTGAAGCCAGAAATTTGCTTCTGGTTACTCTAAATAGTATTTCTGAGCTCTCACCTAGAGCATATGTGTGATGTTCACTGCCTGATCCCCCCCAGCTGTGACCAGAATCCCCCCCACTGAGCCTTGTTCACATGTTTCTCTTTCCTTTTAGGATCCTCTAGGTGTGATTGGAATGTGACTACAGAGAAAAATGTGCTTTTCTAATGGCTGGTTTGTGGACATTTAATCAGGCTCTGATTTCTGGCAATGCTGCAACATGGCCTCGTCTGGGAATGAGGTAGAGAGATGGACCCACAGGCAGGGTGGCAGAGCTGGGGAGCTGGCAGAGCCTGTGACCTCTGCTGAAGCTGGTAGTGGTTTTTCCCCAGTGAAGCTGCTGGGCAGCACAGATCATCTCTTGCACCTCCCTGGAAGGGCAGACTCTGCTTACAGCTCTTTCTCGGGGGGATCGAACGTTCCGGAGTATCCCAGCCCCTTGTGCTGTGCTGAGAACTGCAGTTTGGCCCCCGAGCAGGGACCATACATGGACTCTGAGTATGTCAGAGGGATTTATCATCTCAGTGCAGCAAACTCTGACCTCAGGTGCCTGCACCCAGACAAGGCACCAGGGCTGAGCACCCACACTCGTGCTCTCAGCAGGGGTCTCACTGGGTGCTGTGGGAGCCCTCCTGCCCCAGGGACCTTCAGCCAGGGCCCCCTGGCCCAGGCTGCACCTCCTCCTTCTCCTCCCACACGACTTGACAGCTATAAAGTCACAAGACACCTTGAGAACTCCAGAGGGAGATGTAACTCAGGAAGTCCCAGCAAGTGTGGTGTGCAGCCAGCTCCTTGTGGGCAGGACAACCACAGGGAAGTGTCCTGGAGCCAACACAGGGATGAAATCACTGAGCAGGAGAGAGTGGCTACTGGGAGAAATGCTCTGGAAAACAGGAGCATTTCTTCTGATTCTACAGATGAGGTATTTGTATCAAAAACTCAGGGGTTAAAGACAGAGGAATGTGGAGACTGGAGCCCATCCCAACAGCCAATATGGAGAAACAATCCACACATTTTCAGCAGACCTTCTTCTTATATTTTTCAGGAGTATTTAAAGACTGGCTCTGTGGCTAATGCCCCTAAAATGTCCCTTTCTGCTTATAATTCAGTTCATGCTTCTAAGATTGCCGAAGAGATGAAGTCCAGGTCCCATCACCCAGGGCACACCTGCCCCAGCACTGTTAATGATACACAAGAAGACAAACAGTCTCCCTGCAGTGCAGCCTCCAGGGACATGGACCTGCCAGGACCCAGCCAGCAGTGCCAACCCTGTGCTGAGTTGTGTTCAGACTTGGATCAAGATGTGTTTGTGGACAGTTGTGACTTAAAATGTATGGGCAATGCTCTTCTGATGCAAAACCCTTCCAGGAAGCTGAGCAGTCGTGCAGATGAAGACCAGTGCTATGGCTCTGAAGGAGGAACTGGGAGTGGTGCTGGAGAGCTGCTCCTGGGCCAGGAAGCCAAGGTGCAGGGACAATCACTGTCCTGCAGCTGTGTGGGGGCAGAAGTGGAGCAGCCTCCCTGCGAGGGGTCGGGGCAGGGAAACCAGCAGTGCTCTGGCAACACTCCCCAGGGGGCTGCTTTCAGACCAAAGGAACATTCCAGAGCTCAGTTTTTACATGAAGTCAAGAAAGAACAAGGGGCTCAGAGCAGCAGCCCTGACCCTTGCATGATTCTAGAAAAAGCACCTCTTGTTCAGAAATACCAACCAGAATTTCCAAACCAACTCATAAAACTGCCTCGGGATGACCTGGCTAGTGAGGAAATCACCAGGCAGACAACCCCCATGCTTTACTACCTTTCTGGGGGGAAAACCACCAGCATCCTGCACCACCACAAGCTGACCCCGTGTAAGAAGGACTCCAGGAGCTCACCAAAGGAATTTCCAGCAGGCAGCTGCTCTGCCCCAGCACGGTGTCTGGAGATGCAAAGGGAAAGTCATCAGCTTCAAAGGACCAACCACCACCAGTGCAGGACTGGTGATCTGCTTGAGACCAAAGGCCTCTTTCCTGGGAGTCCTGCTTCATCCATGGATGAGAGTTTCAAGAATGACTACAGAGAGAAACTTAAAGTGGCTCAGAAAAAGGTTCTGAGAGAAACCTCCTTTAAAAGAAAAGACTTACAGATGAGTTTGCCTGTCAGGCTCAGACAGAAACCCTCTAAAAGGCCTTCAATTGAACACCTTAGGTCTTTCTCATTGTCCAGTGCAAGTGAGGATGCCCAAGCTGTTCCTTGCTCCCCTTCTCATCTGGAATCCCTGGGAAGTTTCTATAGAGAAGAAGAAATGAAGAGGCCACAAGCAGGTCGGACAGGGGGAAGGAGGAGGGTGCCAAAGGAGCAAAAGCAGCTGTGTTATTCTGAACCTGAGAAACTCGACCAGCTGGCAGATAAGGAAGTGTCATGGAGTCAAGTCAGGGATGAAATCACTGAGCAAGATATAGCAGCAGCCAGGAGGAGGGCTCTGGAAAACAGAGGGAGGGCCCTTTCCAGTTCAGGTATCTCCAGGACGGAGCTGAAACAAATCCAGCAAACGGCCCTTCGGGAATACGTGGAGCGGAAGGTCCAGCAGCGCCCGGGCACTTGGCAGCACCTCCTGCTGCAGAAGCCACCCCTGCAGAAGAGGCTCTTGCAATCCAGGTGGCCTCCTGGCAAACTCTCCAATCCAAACGGGAGCAGGAAGGTGCAAAACAATGAGATTTTCTGCCAAGTTTTCTCTGAAGAAGAACCTGCAGGGGATTTTCCTCCGCTGGCTTTTGCTGCCCCGCTGAGCAGGTGTGACCCCAGCTCTTCTGGGGCAGGGGCCTTGCAGCACCACCCCCCTCCCAGCCAGGGCAGGACCCCCACCAGCAAGGGTGGGTCAGCTGGAAGTCTCCCACAGGGAGATGCTCCTGTGTCTGGGAGAGCTCAGGAGAGGTCAAAATCAACTCCCCCTTACGCACAGGTAAGAAAGGTATGAAGGAAGTGATTCCTGTTATAGTCCAACTCATGGCTGTCCACCTGTTTTAGAGACATATGGGGCTGTTCACCTGAACATCTGCTGAACATCAGGAATGAGGGATTGAGACTTCATTGTTGGTTTTTTTCCTAGTATGCAGTAGAATCCTAGAATGATAGAATGGTTTGGGTTGGAAGGCACCTTAAAGATCATCCACTTCCAACCCTCCTGCATGGGCAGGGACACCTCCCACCAGCCCAGGCTGCTCCAAGCCCCATCCAACCTGCCCTTCAACACTGCCAGGGATGGGGCAGCCACAGCTTCCCTGGGCACCCTGGGCCAGGCTCTCACCACCCTCACACTAAAGAGTTTCTTCTTAATGTCCAACCTAAATCTCCCTCCTTACAGTTTTAATACATTACACCTTTTCTTGTCACTCCCTGCCCTTGTCCCAAGCCCCTCCCCAGCTTTCCTGGAGCCCTTTCAGGCACTGGAAGGTGCTCTAAGGTCTCCCTGGAGCCTTCTCTTCTCCAGGCTCAACACCCCAACTCTCCCAGCCTGGCTCCAGAGCAGAGCTGCTCCAGCCCTCTGGTCACCTTCTGACCCTCCTCTGGACTCTCTCCAGGAGCTCCCTGTCCTTCTTGCACTGGGGGCTCCAGAACTGAACACAAGTAGAGAGATGACAGATGAAGGACAGAAGCCACATTTGCTTAATCTGCAGAAAAAGCTGTTGTGTGGCTGGTTGAAAGCAAAACACCTGCTCTGCTTTGCAGTGTCCTGCAGATAATTTCAGGGCATTTTGGGAGAAGTGCTACCAATTTTAATCAGTTAAATACTTGTGACTGCTGATGACAATTTGCTGTTCTCTGAAGCATTTTGTAACAAGTTATTGCAGACAAAGAAGGTGTTCCTTAATATGAAAAGTTGCAAGAGAATTGCACCAGGGTGGGAACTTCATGTCAGTATTGAAACTGAAACCGTGTTGGTCTGGGTGATCAGCAGGTGTAAAGGCAGGGAGGGGGAGTGTCTGCTTTTTACAAATGGGCAACCTGTTTGGCACCTGAACCAGAAGGTGTCAGTATTATTGTCCAGGAGAACTAAAAAGATAAAGGGCTCATAAAAACAATCTAATATACTACTGAAATGAGCCAGCAGAAGAGGCTGGCAAACCCCCAGCAGAGCTGCCTGCTCTCTGAGCTGGTGGGAGAGGGAGTGAGAGGATGGATTTTGCTTCCAGCTCTGTGGTTTTCTAGGAAAAAGAGCTGGATGCTACACAGGAAGAGCATGATAGCAATGTCTTTAATAAAGGGAGATAGTAAGTTCACCAGGGTTTTTATTTTTGAGTTAAGAGATCTGCTGTCAGCTTGTGTTCCTGGGGATAAACAGGGGAGTGAAACCCAGGGTCTGCCTGGTGTGGGGGTGCTGGTTGTCCCAGTGTGCTGTGTTCCTTCCCAGGGCTCTGGTGGCTGTGCAGTGACACCCTCCGGCTGTGTCGGGAGCTCCCTGGACACCCCCAGGTAAGGCTTTGGTAGCTCTGCCACCCCAGGGCTGGGAACCCCAGGGCTTGGGAACCCCAGAGCTTGGGAGCCCCAGGGCTGGGAGCCCCAAGGCTGGGAACCCCAGGGCTTGGGAGCCCCAGGGCTGGGAACCCCAGCAGCAGCCGGGGCTGCTTCTGTCCTTCTGTCTGCGGCTCCTTCCTGCTCCGTATGGGAATGTTCATCCCCTACACAATTGGTTTCGACTCGGGACAGTATTTAACGTGATTTCTGCTGTGTGGAGCAGAAGTGGGGAAGGCAGAGGGTCCCTGGGGGGCTCCCCCGCGGCAGCCCCGTCCTGCCCGTGCCCGGGCTCGCAGCTCCCCCCGCTGAGCTCGGGAAACACGGCACCTGCAGCACCTGCAGCAGCACCTGCAGCACCTGCAGCAGCAGCAGCTCCTGTGCCCGGCCCTGCAGAACTGGTGTGATCACGGGGGTTTTGGTCTGGTTTCTGCTGGAGGGAAAATAGGTTGGTTCACTCGGTTGCAATGATCACAACAGCACTGGGATGTTCCCACGGGCAGTTCCAGGGGTGCACACGTGCAGGAGATGCTCAGCACAGGCTGCAACCATCCTGTGTCCCCCCTGTATTCTTGCAAATTCTGGTCCAAAGGGTATTTTTAAATTGCATCTGTCTACTCGTTCTGCCAGCACAGATGTCATTGCTGATGTCCTGCAGACAGTAGCTTTTCCCATCCAAGTTTCTTCTCAGGTGTTGCATCAGAAAAGTGAAAGCACCAGGTCAGATTCCAAAGACCAAGTTTGATCTCAAAATACTGAATTGAAAGCATTTTTAATCCATCTTCTACTCAAGTCTAATGGCTGTTTCAAAGCAGAAGCCTCAGATGAGCAGTGTTGCTGCTGGCAGTGAGCTCACCCACAGAGAAGGAAGCCCTGGATGTGCTTCCAGGGCCCAGAAATGACACTCAGCAGACAGTGATGCTGTAAACCTGCCCTCTTGGGCTGACACATCCCCCCTGTGGAAGTGAGAAGCTGTAAGGAACAAGATGGTGAAGGTTTGCCCTCTGGTGATACCGGTGCTGTGTTACAGGAGGGCCGGTGGGGAGGACACAGAGTGCAAATCCTCTTTCTTGCTGCCAGGTGCTGCCCAGAGGGGGCCTGAAAAAGGTCTCAGCAAGCCCTGGTCACCACCAGGGTCTCATCCTGTGGGCACTGACCTCACCAAGGCAGGGGGTGGCTCTGTGTGTCCATCCCTTTGTCAGGCAGCACCAGGGTGATGTTTTAGGGCACTTTTAACCCCAGGTTTATTTCAGAAAATGTGTGTTGGTCATAATTAGAAAGTGAGAATGGGGATTCAAACAATCTGGAGTGGTGCAGCTGGACATTTTATTTACTCTTTTTTTTTTTTTTTCCCAAGGAAAATTAATAGGCATTATGGAATCTGAGTTTAAATAACTGGGAAGATAATGGCAATTACCTGTAGCTGCTTAAACAGTCTGCAGAAATATTTGTTATAGAGGAGGTGTCTGAAATAAAAGGAAGTGTTTTCTTTCTTACAGTTTCCATGATCCTCAGAAAGATGGATCTAAGAACCAGGAATATAAAGACAATGGCATAATTGGACATGTGTGTTGTCAGGATACTAAAGAGCTACCTCATGAAACCCCTATTCCTGTCCCAAGAAGTGGAACCAAGGAGGATGCTCAGGTGGAGGAGGAAAGCAGAACTAATTCTCCAAACAGCAACACTTCACTAAGGTGTGGAGAGCAGCAGCCTGCAGCTCCTCAGGAGACAGTAAAGTACAGCCACACCAGGCAAGCTCTGCCTCCCCAAGGTGACAGAGATACAGCCAAAGGGTCAGCTGTGGAGGACACCTCTGTGCACAACAGCCAAGGTGAAGTTCTCCCTGAGACAGAGGTGGATGTGCCCAAAAGCAGACTGCAGGCTCCTGAAGACCAATGGTACCAAGAACTTGCTCTGGAGATCATTGCCAAAGACAGTTCTCTGGTTGATATTCTCATGCCTTACCCTGTTAGAAAAACTGTTCTGGACCTGATGGAGGGTCTGTTTCCTGTCAGTGTTTCCATGCTGGATAGATCACACAGGACCAAGGGGGATGTACAGCATGTACAGGCCAACCAGTGAGTAGACAAAACAAATCCTCTAGTATTTGAAGCTATTCCAGTGTATGAATGTCATGTATACACTAGTGGTAAGGTGATTTGAGCAAACTGTTTGATTTTTGCTCCATTAGCAAAGTATTTTAGCTTTCTGATTTACATATCAGGAGATGTCTGAGGCTATGACAGAAGAAATGTGGTTCAGTGATGCCTTATTGAGGGGACTGTGACAAAGCTGGGCTGCAAATCTTTTCTGAGAGAGGAAAGTGATTCTGAAGTCAAAGCCACGAACACACTGAGAACAAAGGTCTAAGTGTTTGTCATGAGTATTGATTTTTCTGTTCCAACAGCAGGAAAAGTAGTAGAGATGCAGCAGCAGAATGTCCTGAATCTGAACATGGTGCTGAGCAGAGTGAAGATCCTACCCCTAAGGAAAGCCAGGTCCTGACCAGGAGCAGAGACAGCATGAGAGACCTGGATGACATTACGTCTAAGAAGGTAGGTAGATGGCATCCTGGAGACAGTAGTTTCTTCACCACAAAGAGGTTATTACTAATGTCACATGTATTAATGGGGGTAGTTCTGTGAGTCACTTTTATCCCAGTAATAATGTTTCACAGATAACTTGGAATAATTTTTTTTTCCAGTAGATGAAGTCCTAGCAAACTGGTGTATTGAACACACATGGTGGTATTTAAATCCTATCCCAGTAATAATGTTTCACAGATAACTTGAAATCAATTTTTTTTCCAGTAGATGAAGTCCTGGCAAACTGGGTGTATTGACCACACATGGTGGTATTTAAATCTTGCCTGGTTGGATTCAGGTCTCTGCTCCCACCTCCTTCTCTTCAGCAGGTGGTCAGGGATGGGTTGTACCTGGAACAAGCACACAGGGTTGTGTGCAAGACCACCTCCTGTGCAGCAGCTGACTCACAGTTCAGCACCCAGATCTGGTCTCAAGAGCTGTAAAATTCATAACAAGCAGCCTAAACAAGAAACACGTGTTGCTCAGAGAAGTGGCAGCAGGTCCTGTACACTGCAGTGCCCCGGGAGTGCCCACACGAGCAGGGGACAGAGGTAGCTGGGACTAAAATGGAAACGTGGCAGGGGAAGGGCAACACGTAGCTTTGAAGAATTAGAGAAAGATTTTATTTTCCTGTAGAGCCCTGGCCATGCTCCACTCCAGGAAATGCCAGACTGCCCTCCTGAAACTCATCCTGTGCACCTGGGGGCATTCTTTGTTACTCACTTGTCTCAAGGCTGCT